GGATTCCTGCGATTTGAGGTGCTGTGACACCTGTCGTACAACCCGGCGGCTGAAACAGCTTATTCCATATATTTGACTATTGGCAACTGTTGCATTTTCGTGCGGATAATCGAAGTACACTTTCAGATGCTTTAAGCGGTCGATCACCGTTTGTCTGGGACACACTGAAAGAAGAGCTCTCCTGAACTCGCATCCAGTGCTCTACCCCCGTGCTGCCAGTGGGCAGCCGCTAGCCATGCAAGTTCAATATTCTCGTGAGGTTGAACCAAGAGCGGAGTCTAATCTGCGTTTTTGGTGGGTTGAAAGTAAATCCTGTTGTATGCATAAAATGGATAATTGTGCAGATGAGTTCGCACGGACAAAGTCTACACTAAAAAATCCAAAATTGCCATTCACGTGTTGTTTTCGGCTAACCATCGATGGCAAAGTACATAGAAGACATGGGTAGAGAAAAGTGAAGGCCGAATTGGGAATATAGGTAAGTAAAGATGAGAAACTATTAGCTAAAAATCATATCCAGAATCATACGTATGTAGCGACTGCCATATCAAACAAGGTTCAAGAATTTTAAGCTTAAACATCTTGCAAGGGAACTCACTGTACAACGCGACGGCACAAGTTTTGCCAAAACTTCAATCATTGTGTGTGCAAATGTCGGATGGAACCTAAACAGTGATCCATCAACTCCAATTGTTGTTTTAGGGCGGTTCATTCGATTCACGATGCAAGCCAGGCCTATTTTGAATGGAAAGTTCCACTGAGAAAACATGAAGCAATAGGATTTGTGGTGAACGTTCAAATGGGCCAAAACCAAAACGGTTTACACAAGAGACCATTCTGAAGTCATTGACTTCACTGACAGTTAATTATTGTATACCCCCTATAATTGCCTCTCCCCTACTTTTAAGTTGCTGCTTCTTACCTCTGACGACCTTCCTATCTCTGAAGATGGACTCCTGTAAGAGTTCAAAAGCTCAGAACAATAAAAATAATGCTCCGGTGTTCGCACTGCCTCCTTAATTATCCATGCAAATAGCTGGAACGAAAACATTCACATTCATCCGTAAATATAAAACTTGACAAGGCAATCACAAGTCAGATCTCAAGCACCGCACAAGCCTTCGATTAGTTAAAGCACTCCATCTGGAACTGTGGGAGCATCCCAATTAGCACAAAAGTAAGGATTACAAGGCTGCTATTCTGGCATCATCCTTGTATGGATAGAGACCTCGACGGGTTGTGACGATTTGGTAAGGAAGTACGATTATTTTCGCCTCAGCAACCTCTGCATAGTACCGAAAGCGAAGGAGCCAAAAAAGCAAAAATTCCGAAATCCTAGAAAGATCCAGTGTCCCCCGTATCGGTGTCAGGCTGAGACTGATGCAACTGCAATAGAGCGACCGTCATAAAGATGGATGTGGAGCACCTGCATAAGTGGCTATTCTACAGCGATGTGTTCACGAGTAATCCCAGACGAATTAATTAAAAGTGTCGTCACAAGAACACCCCGAAGGCCTCACCCAATCCCCTACAAATCAACCCGGATACCAGGGAGTACTTCACTTAAGCTGGACAGGCATAGCGCACTGTCATAAAGACTGGAACAGTAATTTTCGAAGTAAACCGACTACCTACAGCAAAGGCAGGAGAGGCCCGAGAGATTCAAGTGCTATGGACTTACAGTAGACGCCAGAGATCACGCAACATTTCGACACAGGCGAAAGATCGATACTCTTTCACTAATCGGTATTGACTCAGGTTGTGATAGTGATTATCATGTAGTCTATTCTGAAGTTTAT